GCGGGAGGTGTGAGAACGATGTGTATCAATTATGAGACACTCGTTGACTAAGGTTCGCCGATCGATAACGGAACTCAACCGTCCCACTCTGCCTTAAAGCTCATTGTCGAGCCCCATCAGCAGCCGCACAGCGGCTAGTAGTCTAGACAGATAGCACTGCATTATAAAACAGCTATAAACCTTGTCCAACTCCCACATTTTCATCATCTGTGCAATTGTAAAGACCCGATGATGAATTGTTATAAAACGTACTTGGTGTCACTTTACTGTACAATTTCCCAGGCAAAATCATTAAGCCTTTCACCTTGCTTGTTTTGCCAGATTCGTTGTGTCGGTGGGTTGGGATCGGCATATTAACCTCTACACGGACAGCCGCGAGGATATAGTCGCACGTAAAGAGTGCATCGGACAGCTACAACGGCCAGTTCCGCACTGGGGACATGATCTCACTAAAGGACACACGGAAGACATTCTGGCGCTAGCTGTGGGTTCTAGCTCCGGCTTCCTGGCTACGGGGGACTTTGCAGGCGAAATTCTAGTCTGGAACACGGTGAGCGGGCACATCTTCAAACGGCTTTCGGCGATACCGCCCGTCGAGCGAGACTCCAGTTGGACCTCAATGAGTGTCACCTCGAGGACGAAGAGCAGAACCAGCGCAGGTTGGGGTCCCCGAAGCGCCTGCAAGGGTGCTGAGCTTTCACGTTCGACAACCTTCGCGACAATGTCAGCCTCCACGAAGACCACGGAGACTACGTCCACTACACGAGTGTCTTCTGATTACCCGAGGAGACGGTTAGAAGGCGCAGCGCGTAAGTGGAAATAATTATAGTTAAACAAGCAGTTGGATGCCTAACTCATGAAATCCTAGGACTTTTTACATGAAAATCCCTGTTATGCAAAAGCAACCCAAGCTTCTGCCCCCACAGTCTAACAGCAATAAAGGAAGCATCTTTATTCTTTTTGAATGAGACATTATGCAGCTGAGAGGTACTAATTTTTTTAGAAAAACATAAGATTCTGAAAAAAAGGAAAATTAGGGGTTACTGAGTAAACTTGAATTTTAAATGTAGAGAGAGCCAGTTCATGCAAAAAACGAGAGAATAGAGCAGCAGAAGTGTAATTGATTTTGAAAATAATCCTTTCGTGAAAATGTTCGACGCATATGCTTCCATATTACGGTTGTTAACAAACAGCCAAAAGTTCCAGTATGTATTCTAACTTGATTTCACGGAATTGCCAATTCTTTCTTCACTTCAAACATTGTTTGAGATACGTTGCACCAAGGCAGCCTGATTTTTTCTTGGTTGCGCTGATTGGGACGTCACAGGAGTAAGATATTTCATAAGCTCACATGGGGGGTGCACTCGTAAACGAACCATTTTGTGTGCATAAAGAGATATTTCCTTCCGTCCATTTCTTTTTAATTAATTCTGGTGTTTGATTTCGACGAAGTTCAGATCGTTCTTCAACTAGCGGCGAACCCTTTAAGGTGTTCAGTTTTTTCAGTAGATTGTCCATAAATGCATAATCTGTTTTACGTGTTTACCAAAACTGCCAAAAGAAGATACTTCTTAAAAGCATTTAGTGAGTTTTTGGACATTCTTTTTTATGCAGCTGTCCGTTTGGAGTATGATCTCAGAATCACCGAAACATGTCAAAACGCTGGCGAGAAAAATGAACGTTCAAAACAGAATTCACAAATTGATATGTCTAAGATCAATTTTAAAAAATTCTATAACAATTCACCTCTCGAAAAAGCGTATTAATGAGCTATTTCCCCCGTGGGATTCCTGTCTGTTTGACCTCCGAGACCCAAATGGTGTAGCCTAGCGCATGTGAAAATGGGTACCGGGTACTGTAGGACGCAAGTGGACGGGCAGTGTCCGGTCATCTGGTCCTTGTTTCGACATCGGAAAATTATGATTACGGCAGATCGTGGACATTTTGCCGGAATTTAAACTAATTGTAATCCAATACCTGAAATATCTTTAAGACTGGGCATTATTATTTCGAAGTTTGCGTGCATTTGTTAACGTCGGTTTAAAAACGATTCTCCATCATTCGCCAATTTCGGCCTTTCGCATCAGCTTCAGCCCGTACTGTATATGCTAAGAGGAAAGTAAATGGGATATTTGTTCTGCTGGCGTCGTGGTGAATGCCAGCGGATATGTGCCGAGGTTGAGGCATGGGTAAATTCTATACACAAACGGTAATAAATTAGATAGAGAAGCAAAAGGGGTTGCGATCAGCGGAATCTTACTTGTCTGAGCTTTCGGGCTGTTTCTAGAGTCCACCCTCAGAGATAAAAGGCGTAAATGAAAGACAAGCAACAGCTATAGGACGCAGGGGCCAATCAACCGTTATGGGAAGAGGGAGAGGGGGGTTCGGGTTACAGTCAGTCCGGAAATGCCTGCCCAGCGCGATGTATACCGGCGCCAGATCGATAAATCGATTGACTGAGTTCTCATCCGAGGTCCCGGCTTCACTCTATTCGCGGCCTTTTTTGTTGTCGGCGTGCGCGATTACCCTCGCAACTGCGAAATTAAACTCGTGACCGGTCTCGTAGGTATGGGCGGTAATAAATTGCCACCATGAGGCATCCACGATCGGGTGGCATTGTGGTGCTTACTGCAGTACTCCTTTAAATAATTTTTAAAAACATTTACGGATACAAACATAACAAACTTCTCGGGTAGAGCGTTCCAAGCTTCAACCACGCGCTTACAGATGAAAATATTCCGTGAACCCAGCACGGCAACATTCACACTTCCTCTGAGTTAATGACCTC